AGATAAGGATGTGGTGGGGGACCATGTCAAAGGCCTTGCTCAAGTCCAGGTAAATGACATCGGTCGCCTTCACTTTGTCCACCAGTGCCATCACTCCATCATAAAAGGCCACCAGATTGGTCAAGCATGACCTTCCTCTGATGAAGCCATGCTGGCTGTCACAGATCACACGCCCTTTCCTCATGTGATCAGGCATGTCATCCAGGATGATCTGTTCCATGATCTTCCCAGGCACAGAGGTGAGATTCACTGGCCTGTAGTTCCCGGGGTCCTCCTTGCTCCCTTTCTTGTAAATGGGAGTGACGTGACACTTCCTCCAGTAATCCAGGACCTCAGCTGACAGCCACGACTTTTCAAATATGATGGAGAGCGGCTCGGCAACCACCTCAGCCAGCTCCTTCAGAACCCTGGGATGCATGCCATCTGGCTCCAGAGACTCGTTCATTCTCATGACTTGCTCTCCCCTTACAGCAGGGGGGATTTACCGCCCTGGTTTCCACCTAGAGGTTTAGGGATGCAGGTCTCGGGGACATGAGAAATACTGGAATCTTGGCTGCCACTGAAGACCAAGGTAAAGAACTCATTCAGTATCTCAGCCTTCTCTCCATCCATTGAAGCCAGTTCTCCTTTTACATTTACCAAAGGAGGTACGCTCATTTTGACTTACTCTTCTGGCCAGTGTACCTGTAGAATGTCTTCCTATTGTTTTTCACATCCCTAACAATAGGAAGACATTCTTTTCAGTCATGCTCTGCTTCTTTTGCTCCTGATATCACACAGCCACGGGACCCACTGCATTATCCTAGTGTGGATGGAGGGGGAATATTTTTGGCACGGTTTGATTGCCCTCATTAACAGGTGGGGAAGGAGAGAGGACCTAGCTTAGTCCTTCAGTTTGTTACATTTTAATACGTGTGGGATACCACCTCGATATCTGAGTATCACTGATACTGATTGATTTAATGTGAAAAAAGTATTTTAATAGTTATTTTTGTATTTTTGCCTTTTTAACTCTGTTCTCTGAAGCTGGAAAACAAAACCAAGCAGAAGCTCCAAAAACAAATCTGTCAAGTTGTTCTTGACCACTTTGAGAAGCAGTACTCGACAGAGCTAGGAGATGCATGGAGCACCATCAGGTCTGTTGTTTTGGGCATATTGGGGGTAGGGGAATGTGAGAGGTTCTGTTAGTTTATAAAGCACTTAAAAGCTAACTTCAGAAAGAGTCTTGCATAGATTGTAGCAATTGTTCCAGTTTATTTGTCATTTAGAACTGTAGTAAAAGCAGGAAGTAACAGAAGGTTAGATGTTGGAATTAAGTTTTTCCCTGACGTTGGTTTTTTGATGTGGTGATTAAGTTTCTGTTCACCTGTGTGTATGTGTACTGTCAGAATACTGCTGTCTTGCATGCTCTGTTAGCTGTTCTGTAGAAGAGTTCAAAAAGTAATCCTTTTTACTTCGCAGCTGCTGTTAGTATTTTTCTACAGTTTCATAGTTGAGATGTTAGAAGAAATTGAGAACTCTGTGTATCTGTACAGAGAATCATGTCACTTAACTTGGGCCTTGATCACACAGCAGCTGAAGAACTGGAATTTGGAGAGGACATCTTGTCTTCCCTGCTGGATGGTAGTTCCTCATAAAAAAAAAAAACAAAGAAGAGTGCTTCTGGGGGAGTTCATTGCTTAGCTTGAATGCGAACAAATGCAGTTAGCTTCAAGCTGAATGCTCATGTGAGCTGTGCCACGTTATTTGAGTGGAAAAGTTTCTGTTGTATTCTTAGTAACCATGTGACTATTCTGAATGACCTCTTGAAAATTATGTGTAAATAAAAGCATGAAAGTGCAGCATTAGTTGAACTGAATCAACTTAAAAACTCTTAGGCTGGATAAATTTATGAATAGAAAATGGGAAATGTTTGAAGAAAAGCCGGAAAAAATCAAATTGAAATAAGAACAGTTGCATTCCTGTAATTAAACACTGCTTTTTGATTATCTTCAAGGAATGTCTCCTCATTTAAGTTGTTGTTGTTGTATTTTCTGATGCAGCGATTGTAGAACATACATAGAAATTTAGCAAAGGACTCTTGTAAAAACTGCGTTTTACACGTGTGTATACAGCATTGGATGAAATGACCACTGCAAAGCCAATGGGATTGCTTTTGCTGAGATTTCTGATGAGTAACATTACAGTTGCTATCTGTCCCTAGAGAAGTAAAAACATTGTGCTTCATATTTTACAACTTCCAAGTCATTTGTTAAAGAATTTGGAAAAATTGAGAACGCCTTATTTCAGAAGAAGTTAGTGTTTTAAAGCAGTAACTAGGGAAAATGATGGCTTGACTTCCTGTTGAAGTTCTTTTCCTGCCTGTTTTTCACAACTATATCTAATCAAAATGATTCCTTTTTGTTTGCAGAAGAATCATCTGGTTATCCATATGTAAGAAGAGGTTTCTTGCATGGTGGAAAGTTCATATTACTTGTCAAGTTATTAAATAGATTTTCCTTTTTCCAATCTAGAGAGGTACTCACATACCCATCATGCTGGCAGCACGCTGTCCTGCTAAACAAATTCAGCCACACTGCTGACCTGGAGGACACCTTGTGTGCACAGGGATATCATCCTGCCTTCAGAGGAACTTTGCCGTATCTTCCGAGATCACTGAAGTGTTACGTCAGTAGAACTCCTAGGAGGTTCCCTTCACAAAAACACCAGAGTGGTAAACTGAAAGAATATTATCTACTCAATGCTGCTTCTGTGTTACCAGTGCTAGCATTGGAGGTGAAGGATGGGGAAGACGTTTTGGATCTCTGTGCTGCACCAGGGGGTAAATCAGTAGTGATCCTACAGTGTGCCCATCCAGGTACTGTATCAAGAAGCTGATTTGCATCTGGACTATTTGAGTTGTGTATGTGCTTTATATGAGAGTTGGAAAATGGGGGCAGAGGATATTTAATAAAAATGCTTAGTTCCATGCTGTTGCTAATGTTCTTCTGAATTCTGTTTACCTAAAACTGATGAAAATGGCAGAAGTTACTTAAATATAGATTACTGCATACTGACAGACAAATGCAGAGTAGCTTCATTTTTCTTTTTTTTTCCCACTAATTTCTTTATATTATTTCTGAAGGATTTACTTCATATCTTTTGTAAATTTGTTGACCCCTGAGGTTAAGTAACTTAAAGCCCTAGAATGTTTGTATTTTTTTCCCCCCTGCTTCCAATTTGGGAAGTGCTGTGCAAATAGCGTAAGCAAATAAATGAACCAGTGTAAAATAGAATATAGATTAAATGTGCTAGATCTAGGCAGGGGAAGAAAGCTTATGGCAAAAAGTTGGTCTGTACCAGTATTTAATACGTTCCAGTCTTGATTTACCTACATATTGCAGAAGAGAGCTCTGAGATAACCCCAGCATGTTAGAAAGCCACTGCTTGGTGTTTTCCATTTCTACTAGGCCAAGGGGTTCAAGTAAGCCTTGGTTGCTGTATCCAAGTTTGTCTGTTAGTCTGGGTAGTAATTGTCTTAAAATGTTTGCAGCACCTTAGGTTCTTGCAGATGAGAATGTTATTAGAACCACCTGTCCCATTGATTACAGCTGGTTCTCATTCTCTGTCACTTAGAAGAATCCAATGCTGCTGATGAGGTAAATGAAATGCTGATGGGGTTGCCGTTTCAAAAAGTTGTTGAGGGGGAATGTTACTTGATTTTTACGTCTGCTTCTAAAATTATCAGTTTGTTGCTGAGAAGGTAGGGTTCAAGGAAGTCAATTGTGGCTGTACCTGAGTGGCTGGATGCTGAGATGTATTCTGCTGTCTGTAGCAGACATAGGATTTAGGATGAACCACAGGTGGGTATCCAGAACTAGGAAAGGAGAAACTTTAATAAAATAGCAGAGGGAAATAAGAGAAAATGTATTGTTGCGCTTGATAAGTATAAGTGACTTTTCTTCAAAAGCTCTGACTGCCCTGATATAGGGTGCAGTCAGCTGAGCTTTCATTTAGTTAAAAGGCAGTTAATTTATAAGAGATACATGCTTGGTTATCTAAGCACAATGGCAGAAGGAGCCCAGAACAATCTTCAGATTAGCACATTGGATGTGACTTATGTTTCAAGTTTGTTTTACTGTGGAAGTCTGTTGCTACCCTAAGTATTTTATTTTTTTCTAGTAAACATTCATGGATTGCTTTGTAGGAACATGTTGAAATTTGTGAGGGTTTATAAAAAACAAGCAGTGCTATAAAACGTGTGATAACATAAGCACATAGTTTATAAGCTCAGTGGCTTTCACAAAAAATATCTATAGAATTTCTGAGAATTGTGTAACATTTTTTTTTTTTTTAGTGCATTTACTTTCTTTTCATTATTTTAAGGTCAGTTTCACTGCAATGAGTATGATGAGTTGAGATCAAGATGGTTGAAACAGACAATGGAATCCTTCATCCCACATCCTCTGTTTAACTTAATAACTGTCTCAAACCTAGACGGTAGACAGATTGGAGAACTTAAGCCTGAGTTCTATGACAAGGTAACATTCTACTACTTTTCCTATGCTGTTCCCTTTGTTTTCTTGCTTTTCTGAACCCAACAAAAATATTTGCACATGATCTTGTAACTTTGTTATGTGTGTATCTGCAGAGCCTCAGAAGTCATTTGATGATTCTTATTGCATGTTTGTTCATGTGTTAGATGATGTTACCCAGTTAGTCTTGACAAGGAGCCTTGATAACAAAGAGATTATGGCTTCAGGTGTGTAGTGGAAGTGCAAAGTCAAGGCTTGAGCCAGTAATTGAGAACCTGGTGGGAAGGCAGGGCAAACCCAGGGGAGCTCAGGTGCAACCAATGCACCTGAGTGACTAGAAGAGATGGAACCAGCATCCACCCCTTCCCAGACCTTATTTAAGGGTTGGAGGGGAGGGTATCTTTTGCTAGAGATGCCTGTCTACCTGAGGCCTTCTGAAGATAAGTAGATTCTTTCCTTTGTTTTTGTGCCTTCTGCTGTCATGTTTGAGCACATCCTCACTTGCTGTAGCCTCGGATCTTGCTACTCTGCCATTGTTGCACCTTCCATCATGTTATCATGAGGGAACGAGAAAGACCAATCCAGGTAGAGGGTAGTTCTGGAGCAGCAGCTTCTTGTGTTTTGTTTCCTCTTCCTACCTGGTGATTCCTTAAGACTGCCACATCTCAACATAGTAATTAGATTGTTCCCACACCCTAGATGGAAAGTAAAATATGGTCTTCTCAGTGCTTGTAAAAGTACTTTAATAGACAGTTCTCAGAAAGTGAATATCTACATTGTGAATTATCTTATTTGCTCTTTTTTTGTATAGATATTGGTTGATGCTCCTTGTTCAAATGACAGAAGTTGGCTATTCTCTTCTGATATTCAGCAAGCTACACTTAGGTTACTACAAAGGAATGAGTTATCTGTTCTGCAGTTCCAGCTGCTAAGGTGAGAAGTGTGAAGAAGAACTGTTAAAGGAGCTTTTGTAGTTAATGAAAATTATATGAGGGCAAGATCTGTCATGTTTAGTATCCAAACCTAAGTTTCACTGCATGAAGAAAAAAACATAAAGAGTAGGTTGTTGCAATTATTGTTTAGATTAAAAAATTAATTTGAATATGGAAATTTACATGGTGTAACACAAGTGGTGAGGTCTGGGTCCTTTGCTGTGGGGCTTCTGCATGCTGCTGTTTAACTAACTTGTATCTGTCTATTTTCAGATGATTCAGAGCAGTCTGGTATAACTTCAGTGAATACAGCTAAAATGATTTCATAAATGTTCCTTATCTGAAGTGAAAACTTGCATAGTATTCCTGGTTTGCTTTTTTTTCTTAAACTGCGACAGTAGTTGTGTGTATGTATATGTATATGTACCCCTTTGATTACTGTTAGTCCAAAAATACTACTTACCATAAATAATTGGGTAAAACAAACAAACAAACAAAAAAACGTAAAAGAATGCTGGTTGGTGGGGGAACCGGGCTGGGGGAGGCTATCTATTTTTCAGGAGCTTTCACCTTGTAACTTAAAGTTGTCATGTATTACACTTTTTAATAATACCAGAAATAGGCTGGCTAGCATTTGTAAAACCTTTGAAACTCATTTTTCTCCAATGAGGAAAAACTGTCCTGTGACTTCTCAGTACTTCCTTTTAGTCTTGAGTGTTTTTAACCAAGAAACAACCATGCCTGAAGTCTATCAGTCTATCTGTCAAAGCAACTTGAGGGGAAATATAACATATTACAAAAAAAAAAAAGTAGTCATTATGGAAAGTTCCCTCTGCAGCATTTCCAAGTAGTTTTGCACAGGTTCTGGCTGAAAAAGACCTATCGAAAGCCTGTGATTTATAGCAGAAATATGAGTATCTTATTGCAGTAATGCATCATGTCATCTATTTCCTTTGAAGAAATCGATCATATTTAAAACACTGACCTATTTCAGTTTTTTCTTTTCAATATTTGGCATACAAAATTCAATTTGTGATTCCCAACCAAAAGAAAGCATATATCATGCAGTGAAATTTGGAGAATTTGCATAAATCATTGCAGTTTGTAATGCTGAAATGAAGGACTCGTGATGACAGGAACTTTTTTTTTAAGAACAAAACCAACAGAAATACATACCTGTCACCCCCAAATGCGGTTTAATTGAATTATTCCTAAATTGAGAAAAGAATTTTGTCTGTTGATAGTATACTTCACAGTAACAACAAGAAGAATAAGCTTTATAAGGACTAGAATAGTTTTGGTATGGAATTTAAAATCCTTTTACTTCGACTTACGTTTTATCATTCAAATATATCTAAGCAGTTCTGTAGATTAAACAGTATTGTTATGCACACTGGATATTATTTTTCTCCTCTAAAAGTTTTTGGGGCACAATAATTAAATGGTGAGTTTCATGATGTAAAGATTGCACACTTAATCTAATAATGTACTTGGAAGCGTTGTATGTGTCTGCTGGATTTTTTATTGCTCCTTCTGATTATTTTAGAATGGATTTCCAGTATTAATGGCATCTCAGATTATATGTGAAAGGGGAAAAAGGAAATTATAAAATGAGACCAGGAAAGGCTAAATGATTCATGCAAGTGCATTAGAATTTTTGCAAAACTAAGATTTAGAATATTACCTACTTGAGCCTTTGTTTTATAGCCAGGGTACGTAATTATAAATCAAAAACTCAGTTTGAATTCTGTCCCTGATACTTTCTGGTAATAGATACCTTCTAGTAATATCCAGGAAGGCTGAACAAATGCTAAATCACCTTCCTTGAGTCAGCTCATGCAGTGCTAGCTCTGGGTTACCTATTTAGGCTGCGTTGTGCTTTATGTTCATGGGTCTCTCTCACCTCAGTTGCTCTATCTGTAAAATAAAAATAAATATAAAGAGATCTCAGCAATTTGTTGAAAGTAGTGAAAGAAATGGTGCGATTTGAAAATAAAATACAAAAGCCAGGTGTGACTTCAGTTTAGCAATAATTTTGTTGTATAAGGAAGACAGCAAAAGAGGTTACCTACAAATGAGAATTAAAAAATGTGAAAGGGAATGCAATCTTTGTTTCTTTTGAGTGACATTCAGCACATGTCATTTCTATTTTCTTTTTATTTATGGTGATGCCTCACCTGTAATCCTGTTCTGAATTTTGTCATCCCGTTTTGGGGTTTTGGCTAAAGCAAATCAGCCTTAGAAGGAGGGGAAACTGGGGACGTCATTGAGGAAGAAAAAGTTTTTGTAATACATTGTACAAAGTACTTGAAGGCTTCAGGGAGTAAAAAAATCTTTAAAAAAAAAAAAAAGTTGAAACTGATGTAATGTTCTTCTTCCACCAGTCTGAACAAAATTTGAAATGTAAATGAATAGCATAGATGTTGAACAGCAAATTTTATAAGCAACAAGGGCATCACTGATTTGAAGGAAATTGAGACTATAGTGATTGTTAATATCAAAACCAAAGCATCCCTGCAGAGTGCTATAATCCAAGAACATGCTGCAAATCTTGTTATTATTTGGAGTGTTCATGCAGAAAACAAATTGCAAAGTAAGAAATGTTCATTTCCTGATAGTGAATGCTAGCGTGAAAGGCAGTGGTTCCCACAAATGAATTTACCAATATTATCAGTTCTCAGATGAAAATTAAACTGGGGGTTAAGGTCGAGTGCATAATAACTTGATGGTGAAACTGTTACAGATGTTGTAATTATTTCTGAACCACTTACTGCAACTGAAATAAACTATTAGGATTCATCTGCAAATAAATCCAAACAGGATGCACTTCAGAAAATGCAGCAAAGGCTTTCAGACTACTTTAATTCTATACATGACATCTTGCAGGAGTTAAGCAGCTGTAATTGGTGTCTCATACAGTTCTGTTCCAGAGGAACTCAAACTGACTTTAAAAGATGTAGCTGACTTTTTTTCACCTAGTTTTCTCTGAAAGTAGTTAACTACAAGGGAATGTGTTAGTTTTGAGTGTGTAAGACAAGCATGCACAAAGCTAAAAGGTTTGAGAGGATTTTGAGTGTATGAGAGGTTTGAAGAGACTTCTGCCCTTCTGGTTACTGGTGGCAGAGTCAGTAATACAAAATACTTGTTCTGCTAGTTGATCTTTTGGTTTGTTTGGGTTCTTGTTTTTCAGAATTCAAAAGGAAGCATTGAATATAGGTTAAGGAAAAAGAAAAACTTTTCTGTCCTGAGTTAGTGAAATGCTTCCATCAAGACAATGAGCATGTCCCAGCATCATCATGTTTTATTAAAGCATGTCAGCCACTCACTGCAATCAAACAAGGAACTTTTTTTCCTATGACTGCTTGATAACTATCCATGAGAACAGCCCCTAAACACTCCACATACCTTTTAGTAGAACGTCCAATGTCTTTTCTTCCTTCTAGAACATCAGAGTCAAGGTGCATGGCACGTTTGTGTGGCCTGTAAAATAAGATTGACGTTTTCCTTTAAGTCATCAGGTAGAACTGGCAGCCTAAGTCTCTAAAGGCTAACCTGCTTACCAGCAGACCAGCATTATTTTCTGAAGCCCGGTCTTTTGAAGATTAAGTAAATAATAAAGCTTCTCATGAAAATTTAGGATGCAAACAAAATTACAAGCTACTGTTTTCTCTCTGTAATTAAATCAGTGACATAAATTCATAGAATAAATGTGCTCATAGAATTTCATCATAGATTTTTTTACTAAAATAATTGAAAAAAAAGTGTATTAAGTATTTTGAATTACTGAAAAAATACAGCAACTCCACTATTCCTTTGGCATTTGGTGTCTCTTCTGTGTTTTCACTGAAGAGTTTTCCATGTGTACTTCAATGAAGAATTACAATATCTATTTTACATTTTTTCTGATGTATGTGTGCTGCAAATTGCTTATTTTGTTGTAAAGTGAAGGCAAATTCTGATTATTATTTTTTTTAAGTAGGTAGTATGCAATCATATGACTGAGGTATTAGGGTATGGATACCACCATACTCTATGGTGGTTGTTTTTTTGTTAAGATAAGAGCCTTTATAATGTGGGCAGTAATTATATGTGGCAGCCTTGGCTGAGAGACTACTAGACTCCTACATCAGAGCTCTGTGGGTTAAGTTATGTAGCATTTTTAAATGATTTGAGGGAATTCTAAATTGAGGTGTCAGTGATGGAGTGGTGAATTAGGAGAGGAAATGAATGCTGTGTTCTGTGGAGAACGGAAGAGAAGACATAAGAAAGTGAGGTGTATGTCATGTGCAGGATTGCTGATCTGTTCTGTTTTTTGGCTTGTTCCCTGGATGTTTTCCTCTTCCTCCACATATACTCCCTCGTTTTCTGTAATCATCTACTCACCTCCACTGAGAATCTGTCAGAATTGTAACTGTTGTTCTGGCAGATTCTGTAGATGGTTCTTCCTTTAACCACTTTCCATCTCTGAAAAGTTGAATAATTTATGTAGAGTGATTGCCCGAGGCTCCGTATCAGGTGTGTTCTTCGGGGCATTTCACTGAGCAAAACCAGGTTCCCTTTCTGCACCTCCTTGTCCCTTTGGTTGAAAGTGGTTTGGTAGCCGTTGGCTGGACAGTGAGTTTTTACATTTTGTTCTAATTATGCATATGCCAGTATTTATTCCATGCTATTCCTCAAGAGACTGTTTGTTACACTGCTAGAAGTGCAAGTCAATCTTATTCTTTTCTATTGAGACTGCCACTAGACAAAAGTAGAGATGTATCAGCAAGAGGGAGCACAATGTTTGAGCTGAGAGAAGATGGGAGGAGTCAGTCCCTGGAATACCAGACTAGAATCTGTTTTATATAAATAGCTGTTAACTAAAACACTTAATGTTTGGAAATTGAATTTTAGTATTAATAAGTGCCTGAGTCACTTCACATGAGAGACATGCTGCCTCTTTGTTCATATTAAAGGTCAGTCTTTCATCAGTAAGTAACACCTATAGCAGGGAACTGGAGA